ATGATATATATTTTGACAAGATGTCTAATTTATATTTTAATCGCCTCTGTCTTATTAATTGTATATGTAATATGCTTGTTGCAGGTTTTTCAGACAGTTGTTTGTTCTGCTATTGATAAACCAGGTGGCTTCTTCATTGTTCCATACACTTGCCGCAGGAGGTAGGGATTTAGTTGCTACTAACACATTATCCTCATTTGTTCTACTGGTGCTCTTTGCAAATTCTGGCTTTGTCTTGACACGAGGTATGACATATGAATGACTGTAGTTGTCTGTATTTGCCTTTTTTATTATTTTATTTGTGCTATCAATTAAGTACCTAAACAATTAGATTGATCCTCTCAGCTTGGTTCCTGTAGATGAGGTAAAGAGTTGGTGGATCTGGGGTTATTGGATTTCACCATTGATGTATGCGCAGAATGCAGTGGCAGTCAATGAGTTCCTTGGAGAGAGTTGGAATAATGTATTTCCTTGAGCTAATCATTTTCTTTTCTTTTCTTTTCTTTATTCAGTGATAAAGTAAGCTTTTTTTTTTTTTCCCCTTCTTGTTAAGCTGATGCCTATGTAATTTTCATAATAAAGTTTATTCCATCCACAATGGGATCACTGGGAGTTTCTTTTCTTTTTTTTGTATATATTTTTTTTGCAGCAATCACTGGGAGTTTTAGTTTTGAGGTCTCGAGGGTTCTTTACAGAAGCACACTGGTATTGGATAGGGGTTGGTGCATTGATTGGATTCACACTTGTATTCAATTTTGGTTATACTTTGGCACTCAGTTATCTCAAACGTGAGTACATTGGCCTTCTCCAATTAAATTGTAAAATCTTAAGACCATGTATTGATATTCTAAAAATACTTGTGCAGCTCTTGAAAAGCTCCACGCTGCTAAACCAGATTCACAAAGCAATGAAAACAGTGAAAGAACTGGGGAAGATGCTAAGCCGTTGGCACAGGGAATTAGCCCTAATAATCAAACTAATAAAGGTGATAATGTTGATTCATTGTTTCTGTAATCAAGACACTGGATTTATTTTATTTCTGTCTATTGAGCAGAGGAGTCAAGGATGCAACCTGCAATAAAGACAGCTCAAGATAGGAAAAGGGGAATGGTTCTTCCATTTGAACAACACTTGGTCACTTTTGATGGGATTAGCTATTCTGTAGATATGCCACAGGTGAACTTCAGTTTTATGATATCAAATTATTGGAGATTAATTATTCTTGAGCATTCACGGCTTGAGCTTTTGAATGAAATGATTTGTTTTTTCAAGAAGTATTCTATCCAATGGTGGAAATTTGTCTAAAAGAAGTATATTGGAAACATAAGAAACCATAATAGCTTAAAATGACCTTGCAGGAAATGAAAAATCAAGGTTTCTCCCAAGATAGATTGGTGCTTTTGCAGGGTGTAAGTGGTGCTTTTAGGCCTGGTATTCTAACAGCTCTGATGGGTGTCAGTGGTGCTGGTAAAACCACTTTAATGGATGTTCTTGCTGGTAGGAAAACGGGAGGATATATTGAAGGGAGCATCATGATTTCTGGATACCCAAAGAAGCAACAAACATTTGCTCGTATTTCTGGGTATTGTGAGCAAAATGACGTCCACTCACCTCATGTTACAGTCTATGAGTCATTGCTGTACTCAGCTTGGCTTCGCCTAGCTCCTGAAGTGAAGTCTGAAACCAGAAAGGTAGTATCAACCATAAGACAGGAAGGATGCCACTTCAAGCATGTTTGGTTGATGGAATGACTGTTACTTGGTTAAACTATATAACCAAGGTAAATTAGATAGAGATCATAGAAGATGAGGAATTTCTATTTCTTGAGAGATTTCTTTTAATAAATTCAAAGGAGGAAATAGCTAATAACTTCCCCTAGGTTTTAGCTATTCCTTCCTTCTTTCAACTAATCTGAAGAAAATTGAAGGAAGCATAGAATAGTCAACCCTTATTTGCTATGATCTCTATCTACTCTAACTTTACGTTTATCACTTAACCAGGAATATCAGCTCCATCCAGCTAAACATGAAGCATTCAGATTGATGAAATTTTTTGTCAATCAACTGGTCTTGTTGCTAACTTTAACTTGCCTAAACTCACCTACCATGTTCCAAATTGGAAAATTTTGAATTACTGACAAACAATTAAATATTTAAATCATGCTTTAATTTTCTCCCTTGTGTAAATGATTGCAGATGTTCATTGAGGAAATCATGGAGCTAGTGGAATTGAAACCTTTGAGGCAAGCATTGGTAGGGCTGCCAGGTGTAAGTGGCCTATCAACAGAGCAGCGCAAGAGGCTAACCATTGCAGTTGAGCTAGTGGCAAACCCCTCTATAATATTCATGGATGAGCCAACTTCAGGGCTCGATGCAAGAGCCGCTGCAATTGTTATGAGAACAGTTAGGAACACCATGGACACCGGCAGAACAGTTGTTTGCACCATCCATCAGCCAAGCATTGACATATTTGAGGCATTTGATGAGGTAAGAAATGTTAATGCAACAAAGCTTTTATCCCTCAAAAGGGTCCTTAACCAAATATAAATATATTAATGTAACCAACATGGCATATGTCAGCTGTTCTTACTGAAGCGAGGTGGGCAACAGATATATGCAGGACCCCTGGGCCCTAAATCTTGCCATTTGATTGAGTATTTTGAGGTATGTCTAGAATACCAGAATTAATGACCGAGGAATGTGGAGCTTTTCCTTTATGATTCATGATTACTACTTGCTTATGCATATGTTTTTCTGTTGATGAAGAGAATTGAGGGAGTTAGTAAAATAAAAGATGGTTACAATCCTGCAACTTGGATGTTAGAAGTCACCAATCCAGCACAAGAAATGGCTTTGGGAATTGATTTTGTTGATATTTACAGAAATTCAGAACTCTACAAGTACGTCTAATGATACAGTTGTGTTCATCTCTTGCTTTCAAATTCTGCACATCAGTCTAGTTTATTAAACATCCTTTTCATTTATAATTAAAGCAATTCTTTTTGTTGACTTTCTATTATTTCATGTGATGTATTTTAGGAGAAACAAAGCATTCGTGCAACAATTAAGTGTGCCTGCCATTGGTTCAAAGGAGCTGAGGTTTAATACTCAATACCCGCAGTCATTTTTTACCCAATGCATGGCTTGCTTATGGAAACAACACTGGTCATACTGGCGCAACACATCATATACTGCTGTTAAACTTTTTTTCACAACAGTTATCGCCTTGATGATCGGGTCAATGTTTTGGGAAATTGGCTCTAAGAAGTGAGTAACATGGGGTAAAAATTGTAAATGCTAAAATTCTCTTAATTTCTACCCATGTCGTAAGCTAATTCTCGGCTTTCAAAAATAAAAAAATCATAGGGAAAGGCTACAAGATATTTTTAATTCAATGGGTTCTGTATATGCTGCTGTTCTCTTCCTGGGGATCCAAAATTCTTTGAGTGTGCAGCCAGTGGTGGACATTGAACGAACAGT